CCGTGCAAGCGGGAATGGGGGTCAATGTCTATGCAGCTGTTTTATTTTATGGCTCTCATGAAATAAGCAACTTAGCCACAGATATTTCAGGGCTGTCTTTTGTGAGAGGTCCTTACAATCAGTCTTTCTTTTCCAGCTATGCATGGCAGAGTGGGTGGGGACCAAGACGCTGGTTGCCATTGCTACGTACTGGGCACACTGGTGAGCAAGTCTGGTATCGCTGAGGCCCAGACAGAGCTGAAGAAGAAGGTGCTTCATACCCTCTGGGAGGAGGTCCTGCGATTCCCATTAATGGAGGAGGAGATGCCAGAGGGGACACTGACTCTCACCCTGAGAAACTGCGACAAGTTCTCCAGACACAGCATTGTGGGAGAACTCAAACTGAGCCTTGCTAACATGGAGGGGTCCTTCGGGACGGCCCAGTGGGAAAGGCTAAAGACTCCAGAGAAGGTATGGACTCAGTCTGTGTTGGTAGTCCAGAAACTCTAACGATTAACTGTTCGGACAAGAGAAGCCCTCTTCCAAGATGGCTGCATGTCAGTGGGTGGCTTTATTTGTCTGGAGCCAGGTTTAGAGGGGTGATGTGTGACTGCAGAGGTCACTCAGCACTGCTCTGTGTTGGTCTGTAGCTAAACATTTCAGAAAGCAATCAAAGGCCCATCAACCCAGCCCTCCCATCCACAGCTCCCAGCAGTTAAGATGTGTCAAAATTCCCTCTCCTCCTCCCTCAATTACATAACAATCTGACACTGATATCTGTAATTCAAAGCCTATGTCTAGAAAAAGTTACGTGAGTTTCTGTGAATTAGCGATGCAGGACTGTGGTGGCAAGAGCTGAAATACCAGAGAGTGCCTACAGAGCACTCTGCAGAGCTGGGTGTGGATAGGGCACACGATGGCCCCTCAGGGAGCCTTAAATTAGGAGTGAAATACATTGTTGGGACTGAAATGTTGGACTGAAGACCACTTATCCTTACTGGGATCAATCCAGAGCTATTCGTTCTGACAGATGTCAAAATACACTCATTGCACCATATTGGTTTTCTTAAACGTCAAAACCTCCCTTTCCCTCCTTACCCACACCTTCCCAACTGCACAGACAGGGAAAATGGAGGGAAGGATTCCAACAGTACTTGAAGCAGATACAGGAGATGCTTCATGTGCACTAACTTCTTGCACATTTCCTCAGAAGCCTTTTCCCTGCCATGAACTAGATTATTCTTGCTACTAGTACATCGCTACAAACAGCTACCCATCGTACTCTGGTATGGTACGGGATGAGCAATGCAAAATAACACCAGCATTGCCGCTAAGCATGCTGAAATAAATTATTGCCTGTCACCATCAGGCGTGAGGGCTTTCTGCTGAGCTGGCCACAGACACAGAGCACAGAGTTAGCATTTCTGATTTCCTATAATGCTAATTTATCTGATTGCCACTTGAATGCTAACAGGCCTGGCCACTCTAAAAAAACCTCCAGCAGAGAGATGCAGCAGAAACAAAAGGGTAGTCTGAATCAGTTTAACAAACTTCAAGCGCAAGGCTAAATATTTGCCTAATAGCTGTAAATTGAACTGAGTTCTCAGTCCGCTGCTGGAAAAAGAGATGTCCAAAAGAAATTATTCCAATATAATGATTTCAATTACTAAACTGAGATAGATGGAGCCTCCTACTGCAATATACTGTAGTATCTGCTTTGTAAGCAGTACCCAAGGAACAGCCTGTTCGCAGCAATGGTCAGTTGTCACTCAAGTACACCTGATGGAGTCCTGACATGCTGGGTATTCTGCCTTGGTCCAGCTTCACAACTATGCCTAGAAACAGGGCAGCATTCATTTCTTCTCCAGGCTGACAGCACAAGGTTAACACTAACAGTACTGCTGAACAGTGTCCTAGTTTGAGCTGAGGATGTGCAGTGAAAGCTGAATTTGCGTCATCTGGGACCTGAGAGAGCCAACCATCGCACAGATAGCTTATATACAGATCCTGAATCATTCATTGAGAACCAGAGCGGGAGGGAGTGAGGAAGAGCTGATCAAAAATGAGGAGCTATTTTTGACAGCATCCATCCCGGAACAAAGTTACTGGGCTTTGTTTAAAGTCTGACATTTCCTTGAAAAGCCACGAGGGGCAGAAATTTCATTCCTACCTTCCCACTAATTCTCCCACACACAAGGGAAGGAGCTCAGAGAGGAGCTTACAGCTAACCAGGTAATGTAATTAGTATTCAGGAATTCATGGAGTCCTGTGAGCAATGCAAAGTGTAGATATTGCAGACTGATATCCTTATCTTGTCTTCCTTCCCTCCCACTGCTTTGCTAATGACAGTGATGATAGTGGCTCCTTGCATAGCACCTTCCCTTTTGTGATTTTACGGTGCCCTGCACACGTAATTCATTGATGACCCCCTGATGCTTTTTATCCTTATCGCACAGAAAGGAAGACTGAAGCTCTGGTGGTTATGTGAGTTTGCAAGGTTGCAGCACGAAGTGCAGGCTATGGATTTAATAGGAAAAAAAAAAAAAGAAAGAAACAAAACCCAGAAGGAAGGGGAAGGAAAAGTACCTCTGGCTTGGTCTCTTCACGCACAGCTCCAGCAGAGCCCAACCATTGTAGGGTTTGGTTTCATGTGGGTACAGGCTGGTCAAAAACTTGATCAGAATATTGGGAGCTAGAAAGCCAAAAGCACAAGATGTGACTTGAGTATACAATGTGTGCGTTGGTGTGTGCGTGTCTGCGTGCACGTTTACAGAGCCCTGCCACCCCCGACCCTCCCCAATCTCCCCTGCATCTATCTGTGCCTGGAGCTACAGGAACCAAATTCTAGCCAAGGGCTATAGAGTGGGACCTGGTGAGAAGTAGAGGGGATAAATAAACAAAAGCAGCTTACGACTTGCCTAAACTGTGGTTTTGTATTGAGATGCTATTTGTTTTTGTCCCTCCATGTACAAACACTTATTCTTTTGTAGAGGACATACAGCCATTTGAATCTGCTTCTGTTTGTTTTTATGTGTGTTTTTTTTTAAGATCCACTTAGGTTTAGGACAGGATTTATGGGAGTGAAATGCATACGAGCCCTTCATGGCTACCTGAGTGCATGAAAAAAAAGATTTACTTGGGCTGATTTCGGATTGAATTTCAGGTTTCCTTGCTAATGGCCTCCCACCTGATTTGTGCACGACAAATAAGTCATTCAAACCAGACAGCGATGACAGCCATGTTTTCTGGAGAGTCAATCAGCTCACGCAGAGCGTAGAGGGGCCTGTCCTTGCCTGTTGCGAGTAACCGGGTGAAAACTTAATTTGAAATATTTATGGCTCACTTAGAAGCGAGAGCGCAGAGCACAGAAATGGCCTGGAGAAGGGCTGTCTGTCCTAAAGCGTGTAGATCATGCTAAGGACTCCAAAGGGAGTCTATTGAATTGACATTGGCTTTCTGGGACTCTTCTGGGTCATTAACCTCACACTAAACCAGATTTCTGTCACAAACTCCTACTCACTGAGAGAATAACGACTCCCCTTTTGCCCCTCACCACAGGCTGGCAGCTCTGCACACACCGGCGTGGGCTTTCTCTCCTTCCCGCCGGTTCCTGAGGAGGAAATGGCACTGCTTTCCCAGGGGAGAGCGATGGCTGAGGTGGTTACCTCGTCCCTCAGCTTCCCCCTCCGGGGCTGCTTGTCCCGGGCAAGCGGGAAGGCAAGGGGAGAAAGGTCAGGAGGCTAAGAGGCCAATCACTAATGGGAAGAAAGGAATAAAAGAAAAGAAAAGAAAAAACAAAAGCGTGCCCCCCCCCCCCCCCCCAGTCCGCCCTCGACAGAAAAATCAAGTGTGAAAAAAAAAAAAAAAAAAAAAAAAAAAAAAACAAAACCCCCCCCCCCCCCCCCCAAGTGAGCGCCTGATGGTTCAGAGCTTTTTGCCCTGGAGGAAATCCCGCCGGGGCAGCAGGGAGAGCTGCTCACAGGCCTGAGGGGAGACAGGCCGGGGAGGAAGAGTAAAGTACCTTGCCGAGCTGATGGAGGATTTTAGGTTGGCTGGTTTTTTTTCCCATAGCAAATAAGGGTGTCAGAGAAGGTTCAACTCCAGCTCCAGGGTCTGGCTGTGTGGCACAGCCCCGCGTATTGCCCGCTCTTTCCCAGGGAGCCCTACACTCCTGCTAGGCACTGTGGACCGGGGTCCACGTCTCCTCAGAGCCTCCTGACAAAAAGAGCAGCTGACCTGAAGAGTGAGTTATGAAAAACAGTAATGGAAGTAGGGGACATAAATAAAGGGCAGCTAGATAATCTCTCAAAAAAGGAGTATCGGACTGCTTGCATGTAGTTCAGCCCCAAATCCTCTTCTCCTGACTAAATATTCCACTAAAAGTAGATGTTAGGAAGTACAACCACTTTCCAGAGACAAAAGAAAGCATAATTCACATGATCGGGGCCTTACGAGTGGAGGAGCCCTCTCAGCCATCTTTGCCAGTTTTATTCTCATCCAGTGTAACTGGAAAGATCTCCTGTACAAAGACAGGGAGACAACTTGGTCGGTCCACCACCTTCCACCCATCACCTTGTACTATCTACTTTTCCTAATGTTATGGTCAAGATTGTACAAAAAATAAACCCTTCCTGTGTCCCCACTTCCAGGAGCCGTCTACGGGCCACGGGGAGGTTCTGCTCTCTATCAGCTACCTGCCAGCAGCTAACCGCCTGCTGGTGGTGATTATTAAAGCTAAAAATCTCCATTCCAAGCAGCTGAAAGATCTACTTGGCAACGGTGAGTAGAATAGCAAGAAAACAGAGACTGTTGTTTCTGCTATTATGTAAATCTAGAAAGAAAGTGGGAAGGTTGGTATTTGGCAGAAAAAAATAGATGTTTGGCTTAGAAAGCCAAAGAGATTTGAATAATTTCTAAAAAGTGAAAACCAAACCCCCCAAGAACAATGTTTCTTATGTTCTCTCTCTCAGTCTGATGTCACGGGTTAAAATTCTCTTGCATTCATTTTGTTGCATGCTGATTAATACAGTGTCTCCCTCCACTTCCTATACAGATGTTTCTGTCAAGGTGACACTGAGGCATCAGTCCTTGAAGCTGAAGAAGAAGCAGACCAAACGTGCAAAACACAAGATCAACCCTGTGTGGAATGAGATGATCATGTTTGAGGTGCCTCATGAGCTCCTGCGTGCCTCCAGCGTGGAGCTGGAAATGCTGAGCCAGGATGGGGCTGGGCAGAGCCATGTGCTCGGCAAGTGCAGCCTGGGCTTACACGTCACAGGCACGGAGAGGAACCACTGGGAAGAAATGCTGAGGAACCCCAGGAGACAGATAGCCATGTGGCACCAGCTCCACATGTAGGCTCCTCAAGATTACTGCCAACCGGATTTCCACCGGGCCTCTGAGCCTGGGGGAATAAGCTGCATTTCACCTTCCACCTTCCCCTCCACAAAGTTGCTCGGCACAGCATTTTTCTTACACCACCTTCTCTGATTTTCCTGCCTCATCCTAGCCCAGGAAACTGTCTGGAAAATGTATTTTAAAAGACAATCTCTCACCTAATCAAGTGATTCTCTCAAATAAGGGGTTTGGCTGCCTGGATAATTGGAATTAATTTTATTAACCTGCCCGCTGTCATTTCTGCGAGGTCCTTGTTTCTGTAGAGGAGCAGAGGGGAACAAAGATATCATGGAAATGTAAACCAAGCCTTGGCATCTGGCACTGTCACCCAAGTCCCTTGATGAGTGCTGGTTGCATAATCACAAACATGCAGCAGATGTTTTACCAGTCACTGTTTTTCATAGTACTTTACAAGACTGTGAGAAATGAAGATCACAAAACTAACTTTGACTGCAGACCCGAAGTATCAGTATGAAAGAGAGAGTGAAGCCAATGTGCAGTAGACGGATACCTAGAAAAAGATACATAACTAAGGGAGAGAACAGAGGAAGAAGAGAAAGTAAGACAGTCAATACTATCATCCTGTGTAGCCTTTGAAACCACCACTGCCAAACAAGAAGTCAAATACCTTCCTTTACTTTCATTTCCTGGAGTGTTTGATACCTTGTATTTAGGATTCATGAAAACTGCTGAAAACATGAATGTTTCAGGATCCTTTATACCTATGTCTTCTATCTTTCTACAGTGTCACCCAGGAAGAGCCTAAATATGGACAAAAAGTTATTGTTGATGTTATCTCCAAAAACTTGGACCAAATCTTTCTGCTTACTGCCATCTTTTCTGTTTGGGTTTTTCTGAGCTAGAAAGTTTCAAACACTCTAATTATATTCCAGGCAACATCTAAGACCAGGCAAAAGAAGTAGGATCATTTCATACCTTAGCAGTTGATTGATGGTTTTGGTTTGACAGTTAACTATCACACTCAGCTCCTCATACCAGCATTACTCGAAGACAACCCTTAAGAACTGCCATGTATTTCATCACTTCCAGACAGAAGGAATTCACTGACTAGACAGACTCTCCAGGGCTTGTTTTTTTGTGTGCACTTTCAAGATTTGACGTGGCTTAAATGTTACTGTTTACTCTCCTTTTCTTGTGTCTAGATGGACTGAAAGTCTGGCATTGGCAGTGATGATGTTATGACCTCATCAGCACACCGCTTGTCCTACCACTTTATTTCAAGTAGTAGACACAGCTTTAAGGGACTTCCATGGGGATGAGGCATCTAAAAATGTGAAAACAGAACCATATAGTTTGTAGCGCTGAAAAACTCAGAGAACTTTGTATTTGCAGGGTCAGCTTGATCCTCTGTTTAATTCAAAATATCAAGCTAGCCTTTATCTAGCGTCCATCCCATTTTGATGGCTTAGTCGAACAAGTCTAGCAGATTGTCAAGTGAAGGCTGCCATCCTGTTGGCAAAGGGGAACCACCAGAAACGGTGTCTGAAAACTGGCTGAAGCGCCAGGCACAGATGGTTATAAAGAGGGGAATGAAGTTCCGCTGGAAGCCGGTCACGACAGGTGACTGGGGTTGGTAGTGGGACTGACACTGTTTAACATCTTCAAAAATGACCTGGATAATGGGGCAGAGCGTGCCCTCAGCAAGTTTGCAGATGATACAAAACTGGGAGTAGTGGTTGATACGCCGGGCAGTTGTGCTACCATTCAAAGGGACCTTGAGAGGTTGGAGAAATGGGCTGACAGGAACCTCATGGAGTTCAGTAAGGAGAAGTGCCAAGTCCTGCACCTGGGGAAGAGCAACTCCATGCACCAGTGCAGGGCTTGGGGTTGACCATCTGGAAAGCAGCTTTCCAGAAAAGGACCCAGGTGTCCTGGTGGACACCAAGTTGAACACGAGTCAGCAATGCGTTCTTGCAGCAAAGAAGATCAACAGTGTCTTGGGCTGTATTAGGAAAAGCATCCTTCCTCTCTACTCAGCACTGATGAGGGCACATCTGGAGAGCCGCGTGTAATTCTGGGCTCCCCAGTGCAAGAAAGATACGGACTTACTGGAGAAAGTCCAGCAAATAGCCTGGAAGATGATTAAGGGACTGGAGCATCTTCTGTAGGAGGAGAGGCTGAGAGAGCTGGGACTGTTCAGCCTGGTCAAGAGAAGGGTCGGGGGGGAACTTATCAATATGTATAAATACCTGATCTGTGAGAGAAGAAAATAAGATGGAGCCAGGCTCTGATCAGTGGTGTCCAGTGACAGGACAAGAGGCAAGGACACAAACTGCAATACAGGAAATTCTATTTGAACATATGAAAAAACAAAGAAAAAAAAACTTTTTTACTGCGAGATGGTCAAACACTGGAACAAGTTGCCAAGAGAAGTTTTGGGAGTCTCCATCCTTGGAGACACTCAAAATCGGATGGGATACAGCGCTGAACAACCTGCTCTAGTTTACCCTGCTTTGAGCAGGGCTGGGTTTGGCCAAGATGATCTCCAGAGGTCCTTTCCATCCTCAAGTGATGCTGTGATTCTGTGAAGAGACTGACAAGGTTGATGCACACTGAGAACTCTTGTTATCTTTACACTGCTATTCCCTTTATAGGTGGTATAGCCAGGAGTTACAGGATCATTTTGAAGAGTGATAAAAACAGCTTTGACCAAACAACCAAGCAAACAGAAAAGCTAAGTATGCCAATGAATCTTATGCCCAATGTTTTAATCTCTGATATTGCTCCCCTGGCTAGAGGGGATTTAAACAAAAAGAAAATCGACTTCTTGTTTTGCGCTATGGGTTTTTGTTTATTAACAAAAAGCTGCAGGATACTGTGAATAAACTAGACATGGGATTTTAGTTGATAGTGAATTCTCAATAGTTGCTGTGTTCATGATTTGCCTGTAGATACACATTTGGAATCGTTATTTCCATTTAAGTGCAAAATTCATTGTAATGCTGGCCTACTCTACATATAGGTTCCTGGCAGCACTGTGATTCTTCCTTCTTTTTAGGATAATGATAAGAAAGGTAACTTCATGGTATGATGCTATTTGGTTGGCACCAGAAAGCCTGAGGGGCCAAATATTTGCCTTGCTGCCAAGAGATTTCTCTAGTTCTGCCTCCTGCTTATTTTAATGAGCCTTTTATAACATCTTGGTGACTGACTGTAAACAGCATTATCTGCCTGTGCCCTGGTGATTTTGGCACACCCTGTAATTAGATAGCAATCCTATAGCATCTAAAGGAATAGCCCCTCGCAATCTGATTTTGCTGTGACAAAATAATGTCCTCTTTTACAGCAGAATATGTGTATACACACTACCCAATCACAAATCTGTTTTACAAGCAAAGTGGTGCCATCAGTGTTAACAAACGGGGTTGTTCTCTCCTTTGCTGCAACGGGATTTAAATGGGGAAGAACAGAGGAAGAGTGAACATGCATGCATCTTTCCTGGCTGGATCATTTTTGTTGTCTGGCATTTTAGCCCGGAAAGAATGTTTCTCGCATTCAGCGCAGCCTGAACAAAGACTGCCAGGTGTTTATTTAACGAGGCAGCCATTTGCTGTGCCTGGGCTGAAAGCAAGTGCAGTTAAGGGTGCTGGCTGTCCTGAACAGGAGGAATGCTGCGTACGTGTGGTACTGGAGGGGCAGGGACGTTCAGCCCAGGCCCTTTTGAACTCTGTTAATAGGAGCTGTTTGTCATCACATTCCAGCGCCTGCCCAGGGCCCTGCCCTTATCCCTCTGAACTGCCTGTATCGCCTGTTTAGCAATAGATTCATAGAATCACAGAATCGTTTACGTTGGAAAAGACCTTTAAGATCATCAAGTCCAACCATAAACCTAGCACTGCCAAGTCCACCACTAAACCATGTCCCTAAGCACCGCATCTACACGTCTTTTAAATACCTCCAGGGATGGGGACTCCACCACTTCCCTGGGCAGCCTCTTCCAGTGCCTGAGAACCCTTTTGGTAAAGAAATTTTTCCTAATATCCCATCTAAACCTCCCCTGGCACAACTTGAGGCCATTTTCTCTCATCGCTTGTTACCTGGGAGAAGAAATGGACCCCCACCTGGCTACACCCTCCTTTCAGGTAGCTGTAGAGAGCGACCAGGTCTCCCCTCAGCCTCCTCTTCTCCAGGCTGAATACCCCCAGCTCCCTCAGCCACTTCTTGTAAGGCTTGTATGCCCCTCAGCCGCAGCACCCCAAGGGCCAGAGGTGCGAAACTAGCCCAAGCAGACAAATAGATTCAAAGTATTTACAAATGCATAGTGCCATCATATCAAGCAGCTTCAGCAACACAAGCTGTTAAAGTATATCTTAAGTGCATTAAGGCCAGAGAAGTCAGCCACAGCCCGGTGGTTTTCAGGTCCTGGAGTGGTAAATACAGGAACAATTAGCGAGCACCGCTAACATGTCTTAAAGGGTGCTGCTTATAAACTGCATCATAAGAGAAGAAGGAAAGAACACAATCATGGCAATTAATGTTCTTTAGCTATGTGTGTGACCAAAAATAGCCATTAGAGTCCCCAGTGGCTATTCGGTGGTTGCTCTGATTATTCTGCCTACTATAACCCATTAATGTGAAGAAGCTGGAAGCCAAGAGACTGGAGGGAGGAAGGACAAAAAAACGGAGGGTGGACGGCAGTCTACCTGGTCAGAATGAACAATCCTTTTCACAAAGGGCCAGAGAGTTGTGAGTTTAAGGACAGGGATTTGCAGTTCCTCGTCCAGTGACAAAACCCAAACAACACGACGACTGTAAACCAGAATGAGAGCTGCAGCTCCCACATTGCATCCGGCATCGCCTGGGAGAGGTGGTCTTCTGCTGTGGCCTCTGTTCAGAGGAGGGGACTGAGAGGCCAGAGGAAATAACTTGTGACTACTTGGTTAAAATATAGCTTGCAGCCATATGTTGCTTTGCCTCAACCTGCCCTCAGAGCTAGATCTCCCCAGAGAAATGATCTAGTTTGATTTTAGGCAATTTGTGCTTCAGTAGAAGAGATAAAAAAGCACAGATTGTCGATAGTCACTAAAACATCTCTGAGATGTTTTGGACTCATTAACACCCTCAGCCCCCTTCCCCAGTTGTAAGGGCGAGCGGTTGCAGCTGGTCTCCTGGAAGGG